ATGAGAAAAATATTGGTGTTTTTTGAAAATTAAACCATGTAAACCTGTTCTGGTACAACTCCTAAATAAGATTTTGAACATGAAAATGAGCATAATACCACCTCTTTAACTCAATTTCAGTGAACACACATACAGAAGTAATAAAATAAAACCATCACAACAGATTCAGTATTAAATTTTTTTCTTGTTTATTACAGGAGGCTTTTGTTTTATATACAGAGACATGTATTTGCAAAATACTAAAAAGTATTTCAACTCAAAGTACTAAAAAGTATATATATATATTTATATATATTCATATTATAATCATCGTAATTATTATTATTGTCTCTAAAACACCAAGGTGGGGTCACTGAGGCACGGCTTTCGCCTCCTTTACACCGAAGTTTCACCGGCAAGAGTTTCTGCCAACGGTTGCAGAGCGTGAGTACCACTGAGGTCAGACAAAAACCTTGTAACTTGTTGTTTGTCTCTCACTTTCAGATGTTTCTGAAATAGACTTAAAAAATATGGAAACATTACACATTTAAAGATTTGGATTCTCAGATTTACAAATCTCATTTTCCCATGATCGTTCTTACATCTTTGGATATACAAGGTTTTTACCCTCCAAGTGTGACGTGTATCTTCTCAACTTTTTCCAGCAAAAACACAAAAAAAACTGCTTGTTTCAAGCTCCAACTTAGTGATTTATATTTTCCAACTTGATGTGTTTGACTGTCAGCAGCCCCAGTTTGTCTTAAAATTACATTAATGAGAGAAATGTTCCCCAATTTCGGCTGGAATAAAAGAAGAGTCATGAGGCGTCAGGAGGGGAAACACATTCTCCCCTCTGTTCCTGAAAAAGGCAACTTTCTCCCCGTGATATGAGGTTTCTGGGGGACTGATATGAAGCCGGAGACCAGGTGAAACCAGTTCGACAACCGTTGTGAAACCAGTTGCGGTGTAAACGGGGCGATGGTGGTTTAAGCGGTGAGAAACCAAATCATTGACGACAAACAAAGTAAAAACATCATCGTTATTATGATCCTCATACTGTAAATAAGATACAGCATCACTCACTGCCTGTTTACACAACTGTTGTATTGCATTTATCACACAGTTAATAGTAACAATAGTAATAATAATGAACAATGAAACCACTGTGCATTTCCTCCGTATTGGTAAGTAGATGTTTGTCGTTTTGTTTTCGAAGATGACAAAGCAGCTTTTGGTTTTGAAACAGGGAAAAGAAGGCAGGAAGGAGCAGAGATTCGCAGTCTGAGTTTGTGTTTTAACACCCCCCTCCGATCTTAATATGGACTCTTCCAAAAACCCCTTGGTAGCACCACATGGACTGACCCACAGCTCAGAGCAAAGACGGTAGTTTTCCTCTAAAATTAACTTTTTCATATCACAACAGGAAAGAAAGTGACACAGATTTTCTTTTCTCCACCTTTTCCTGCAGTTTTCCTTTCCTCCTTGGACACGTTGGGGGTTATTTTGAAGGTTTCCAGACTGTTTCAATCCTTTTTTTCACCTCATACAGTCAGTACAGAGTGAAGATCAGGTGCAGAGAGCTGACGTTGGTTTGTTTTTATGCTTAAGTGTTGCTGAGTTTTTATGCAAACTCCGAGCTTAATACCAGTTAACTGTCCTGATTCAGACTGTAAATCTGAGTCGTAAGTGTTTTTGTGCTCAGTGCAAACCAGAGTCTGAGGTCCAGATTCACTAACGTTACACTGTGAGGGCAACTTTGTGCATTTGTTTTCCTCTTCAGCTGCTGAAGTACTGATATTATGAGGCATGGCTGTATTAAGAGAGCTACAGCGAAGCAAGTCAGTAACTCGCTGTTCTGCAACAAAAAAATCCCCCACAGCCCAAAAAGCATTTTCTCTTTAGGGCACCATTGTAAAAGAAAAAAAATGCACTTTTCCTGCAGACTTTAGTGAATCTGAACCTCTTTGACGGTTTTAAAATTCAAAATACAGAACTAAATCAGCCAATCAGCTCTCTGTGCTGTTTGTTTGACAACTTATGAGGAAGAGTCACAGCAGGGATGGATTGGGGGGGGGGGGGGGGGGGGGGGGGGCTGTGGGGGACCGTGAACCTCGTTCAATATCAAAAAGCGTTAAGAATCATTTCATCAATCAACCAACCAAATGTTAAACCAATCAAATAATCACTCAGTCTGCCAGTCAAGAAATCAAATTATCAACCAGTCCGTCAATCAAGCACATTATCAGTCAGTCAATCAATGGGAAAGCATGGCTTGGAGTGTCGGGGTTCGTATGTAGCAGGCACACTCTGGGTCTATTGCTACTGAAAACAGCCCTTCAGCACAACTGCAACCTGAAATACGCCTCGCAGCAGAGTTCAGCAGTGTCTTAAGTATTTACCTAGTTTATATGGTTATCTATTCTCAATAGAATCTAGTAGAAATAGAGTCCAGACGGTGCCAGTAAAATTGTTTTTTTTTTCTTTTTCCTTTTTTAATTAGTCTAGTAAAGCGCTTAGTAAAGATCCCTCGGGTGACCACGACAACAGAGACGGAGAGAGAGAGGTTGTTCGAAATATTGAGATCAAAGCAAACTGAACGCTGTACACACACACTTTGACACTTCATCTTAATAAAAACAAGCGGTAGCACTGCTTCACAGCAGCTCCCTGCCAGTGTATTCACCTGTGCGTCTGCGAGATCTCAGCAACACTGTCAGAGTTTAGCAGATTTCAACAAATCAGTATTCCCCCTCCGGACGTAACTCCACAGATTCATACAGTGAGAAAAAGCTTCTGTGAAGTCAAGTGTTACCTAAGAACTCACTTAAAAGTTTTCGGCAAACCGTTATTGCTAGACGCGGTTTGTTTTTTTGTTTATCTGTGCAAAATAGATAAAGAGCCGTCTCGCTCAGCCTCCGCTTTTCCTCCAGGGCGCAGCTAAAACGTGCCAAAAACAAAAAAAAACAATCTTAGATTTAAATAAAGCAATTAACCAGAAAATAAAGTCAATAAATAAATAAATAAATAAATAAAGTACCGTTTTGATTTGAAGAGTCTCCTTTCAAACTCAGATACCCTTCAGGGGAAAAAGTATAAACTTTTAGCAAAATCCCACTATTTGAAACTATAAAATTACCTCCAAATCTTATCATCAATCAGAACTTCCCCAATTTATTTCCCACACGAAACTCTTCATATCGTTCCGCGGAAACGGGAAGCAGAAAAGGTTTCAGCATCATCACACCAGTGTTCTGGAAAAACCTGCTCAGCTGCAGCCATTTTTAAATGACTCCAAGTAGTTTGTAACACAGACGAACGCTGTTTGACTGTCGTCAGGAGCACCGGTTCATTTACAGTTAGTAACTATAACTTCACTGATATTTTCCTGAAAAAGTATTCGGTCTAAACATTCTCAGATAGAATCTCACCTGGGATGATAAATGATATATTAGTCTGGTGACAGTCTGCATTTACTTACTGTCAACCAATCCCATCAAGAGACAAAATCCAAAAGTGAATGTATCTACCAACAATGATTGAGTGTGTCTCACAGCCTGATATATCCTCTTGTCACCATTTTGAATGACAACAAATGAGTCATTTAGCAAACTGTTCTGATCTTCAAAAGAATTCGTCTTGACTTCGGCAACTTCTCACTTGTTTCTTTAAGAACATAACTGCACTGAAAACGATCTGACTGGGTTTTCAGCTGTGGACTGATCTGTACACTGATAATCAGCTGTTTTTCCAGGACACTGATGACCGACCAAACACCAAATCATGAAGATCAGCGTGAGCTTTTCATCGAACTGAACAGAGTGAAATCCTGATGCTGAGGTGCTGAGTTGATTGTCGCACTCTGGTCAGGGCCGGTCGACACCTCAAATATTCTTGAGCCCATTTAAGCCTTAAAGAATTCGGTTTGGGTGTGAGCTGTTTGTGCCGAGCCGAACTCAAACCAGACGGGTAGATAATGACAGCGGGTGATTTGCCAAAAAAGTACATCAGCGACATTAAATCCCCTGATAGAGGAAAAACATTATTCATGGCATTAAAAAAGCCCAACATGTGAGAGAAGTCCTGCATGCATTTACTTTGTTCAGTTGGTAAAATGCAAAGACTGCTGGTTTGTTGCATGCTTATTAAACATACTTAAATTTATATTATTTCCATTTTGCCAAGCTTGTCTCAAACCACCAGTCTGCTCCTTTAAAATGCACTGAACAATATTTATATGGCTTTGAAAAAAGCCTGAGGTGTCAATGTCTTGTGATATAAATGTTGTTTTTATAAATACGTGTTTTCTTTTTAGGAAAGCTTATTAAATTATTTAGAATTGTGAGTAAACAATAAATGTACTTGAGATATTGATAAACCTCTTGCACCAAATTGCTGATTTTTACGTTTAACATCACATCTGCACACTACATTCTTACCAAATCACATCATTGATCAATGTCAGTCTTGACTACCAGCCAGTAACCACCAATTTGCAAATGTATCAATGCAGCAGGAGTTTTTTTGTTCAAGTTTGTTCGTGAAGGGAAGCTCAAAAAAATTTACTTTCAATCTGGACTTTTAGACAAATCACCCATCGGCCAAAAAAGTAAAGGACACGAGGATGTTCACCACCAGGGCAAAAGACATGTTGGAAGAGTCCGGGTTTAAAATCTCATTGTGCACTTGTATTAGTTTTTGGTGTCATCTGAAAGGTTTCAGATTAAAAATAAATACATCCCAGGCTCTTCTTTTCAATGTATCTTTGCCCAGGTGCAGTAAAGTGACAGCACATGTAAACTCAAAAGTGCAAAACTGCCAACAAAAACAGATGAAGTTACTTCTCAGATTTTTTAGTTTTCTTTTCCTGACCGCACCCTCTCTTCTCCTCTATTACAATCTCTTAGCTAGTGCCACTCCAAAGTCGAAAGAGGGAGCCTGCTTATTTTTTTTCTTCAACTTACTCTAAAAAATATAAAAAATAGTAATAATTGTACCGCTATTAAAAGACTGGTAACATCAACAAAGTTATACTTTTTACTACGAAAACATGTTTTAAAATCACGTTGTCATTACTTTGCCTCCTCTCTTGAGTCTCAGTCAGTCAGACAGTAACGTGCCGAGAAACACCACCAGGAACACCGTCGCTCTGACAGCCAGGCGTACTCTGAGAATATTGATCAACTGTGGGAAGGCACAAACCCCCCAGGCCAATAAATGATGGATACATCTGATATAGTTGTTGTGACACCTCTGACCCCCTGTAGCCGAGGTCAAAGGTCAGTCAGTGTTCCGAACCCCTGGCTCCGGTCCACGTGAGAGACCCAAGAGGTCAAAGGGATCTACGCTTCTGTCTTTTTACTCCAACAAAGGCAGAGTTGACTTGACAGACGGGGTTTCCCTCTCTGTTACTGCAGTTTTTCTGCTTCCCTTTAAGAAACTCCAAAGACGCTGTTGAGTCGAGTCCAGGAATCTCCGCAGGGAACAGGAAATAACGTTAAAGGTAGTAAATATTCCACTTTTTTTTGCTCTTTCACTCGATTCCTCCTGCAGTTCCTCGCTTATAGCTTCTTCCTGCCATCTACTCAGCACTCCTCAGCTATGGTACATTCAGTGAACAAAAGAACAAACAGGCTTAACCCAAAACGAGGATATCCTAATTTGTAAAACTTTTTGGTTCCCGCTATGGTACTGTTTCCTGCTGTCTGTCAGAGTCGACCACTGACGTCGATTGTTCACTCGGTTCGCTGTCTGCTGTCTCGACAGGGATTGTTTCTGAGTTGGCAGCGAACGGGTGCAAGATCTCTGATGTGGCTCGCGTCGCGCTGTCATAGGAGGGCGGGGACGAAATGGAGGAGACCGTCTCGGAGCGCTCTATCCCTAACAAACTCGAACCATAGTTTTCCCTCATCATGGTGGCGATCAGCCCTTCTTTCTCAGGTGCATCCTCCCCGAAGACCTCGCTGCCTTCTTCACCTTCACTTCCGACGTGTCGAGGTGTGGTGATCTGGCGGTACAAGTAGGAGGCGGCCTTCAACTGCCGCCTTACCAGGTGTCTGCGATAGCACCTTTGGATCACCGTGGCGGAGACCTCTTCCTGTTTGCGCCTCAGAGTTGTTGTGATTGGCTCATAGGAGATCTTAGACGGGTTGGCCATCATAAACTTCTCCTCCATCTGCTGCTTGAGGGCGTCCATCTCGCCCGACTCACCCAGAACACGCTTTGTGAAGGCAAAGAGGATGTCCAGACAGTGGATCTTGTCCCCACTGACCATGGGCAGGTCCATGGAGATCAGTTTGATCTTGTTAGGCTTGCTGATGCGCAGCGGCTCTGACAGCGAATCTGCAAAATCTGACAGCTTGGCGTACTCAATGAACTGCGTGGCCTCTGGGTCGAACTTCTCCCAAACCTCGTAGAACATCTCAAAGTCGTCCTCGCTCAGCGGCTCGGTGCTCTCCTCTGTGGCCACGCTGAAGTTCTCCAAGATGATGGCGATGTACATGTTCACTACGATGAGGAAGGAGATGATGATGTAGGTGACGAAGAAGGTGATGCCCACCGAGGGGTTCCCACAGTTCCCCCGGACGGTGGTGCCGGTGTGGGGGATGTTGGGGTTGCACTCCTCGGGGGAGTTGTTGAGGATGGGGCTGAGCAGGCTGTCCCAGCCAGCGGAGGTGGTGATCTGGAACAAGCAGATCATGCTGTTCCCAAATGTCTCAAAGTTGAACATGTCGTCGATCCCCGACTGCCTTTTGACATAGGCGAAGTTGGCCATGCCGAAGATGGCGTAGATGAACATGACCAGGAAGAGGAGGAGCCCGATGTTGAAGAGAGCAGGGAGGGACATCATGAGGGCGAACAGTAACGTCCGGATGCCCTTAGCGCCTCTGATGAGACGCAGAATCCGTCCAATACGAGCCAGTCGAATCACTCGGAACAGTGTTGGCGAGACAAAGTACTTCTCGATAATGTCAGCGAGCACGATACCTGAAATATAGATAAGAAGAAAAGTATATAACTCAGGTATTCTTGTACAGACACATACATTTTTAGCTTATAGACATTCATATGCATGTCCGAAGCCAGGAGTCAACTTTTTTTCATTTAACTTTGCACATTTTCATTGACTAACCAAGATCTATTTGCATTTTCAAAACTATTCAGTTTTAATTTCATCAAATGACAACTTAGCTTTGAACTTTCATAAAGCTGGGGAACCAGTGAGAGACAGATTTGTGTGATTACATTAACTATTCAGTGAAGGTTAACTGAACAGATACTACTGTCAGCTAGCCAGTGAGCCAACTGCTTCTGATTAGTGATGAAATGATCAGTTCCCAGCTCCCCACAGAGCTGCAGACCTCCAACATGGATGCTGGGGACTACAGTTACAAGTGCTTTACTCTCTTAGTCAATATGTTATTCATTAGTAGTTAGGCTCTTCATCCAGGCACGTTTTTCAATCAATGAGTCATTTTTGGTTAAATCAGCTACTAATCTGTCAAAACTGGAGCGTGACACTGTATTTAGAGCAGGTGAGTCAATCACAAAAATGGTCTGATCTTTAATAAGAACACGATTTGAAGGGGTCGTCCTGCAGGACGGATTTCATCTGCAGAGAAGCAGGAGAAACTATGAGCTGGATTCCCCCGCCTACATCACCTTAAATCGATTAGCTGAAGACTATTAGTTGACCAAGACTTTCTTTTATTTGAGGACATTCCTGTGAGATATCGAAAAGCCCTCCGTTTGGCCATTTCAGTCTTTATGTGGCAGGTCAGCCGTGATTACACCTTGAGTAATTGGTTCTGGAGGGCTGAGCCGTCGTTCCCTTCCAACGCTGTAATTCATCCATCTTTTCCTTGTTATCCAGGAATGATAAACTCAAAGAGGAGCTGCCCCCCCCCCACCCACCCTAAGACACCCACCCACCTCTATCTTTCATTCATCTCCCTGTGTTGAGTTATAGGTGATGTAAGGGATGAGCAGGGGGGAGTCGAGAGGGAATCACCATCACATCGTACATCAACTCAACTACACCCCCCCCCCCAACCCATCCTGACATCTTTCTCTCTCCCTCACACACACACAGCTGATATAACAGGTCAATCATGTTTGATTTGTCTCCAGGGAACGCCCCCTGGCAGCTCTGATTGCTGCTGTTACCTTCACCTCCCCCAGGCAGCCTCGTCTGAGCGTGCACACAAAACACATCCACGCAGGCACACACTTAATTACACACACATACAATCTTGTCACAACACTGATAGCTAAATTACCTGCTTAGGTAGCTCCGTGCTGCCTCTGTAGGATGTTCTGTCATGTGTGTGTGTGGTACTGTATATAACCATACGGGACCTTGGTACAGGGTAAAACATCAAGGCCACCCGGATGGTCACTTTGTTGACAAATAACTGTCAGGCAGACATTACAATGCTTCCTGCTGCCACACATGATGCCTCACTATATGAATAATGTGAAATTTTCAACATCCAGCTCAGTTCTACAAAATATTTTAGCCTCTTTTAGATCCTAGTTTTGGTTTTCTGGAACATTAACTGTCTGGTTCAGGTTCAGTGTTTTTCCATCAAACAAGCTTTGATGAAAACACCGTTGCTGGTGAGTCAATTGGTTAGTGGAGCATTTAGCAGCGGATCGTGTCTCAGGTCGGAGGGTCTGATTTTCCTCTTGAGCGCTCTCTAGTGGTCAAACAGTGCTCAAAGCGGACTTAAATCTTTTATTTTACTACGAGTATGATTAAGGATAGTTTGTCTAACAATAGCCGTCGTCATGAAGCAAAAAAAAGGCTTGTTTTAATAGACGAGTGGTGATTATGCCCGTCATTAATAAACACATATCAACAGAATATTGTTCTAATTTAAAATAGACACACATAGTTTAAAGTAAAAATACTTATTAATGTTAATTTTGAACAGTGCAGGTATTGTGTATGTGTACCTTACACATACGTCATGATGTATCTCATTATCGTTTGGAAAATACGGTCATGTTAAACCAGTTCAGTCATTTTAGTAATTTAGTTTTACTCTTTACACAACACTATATGTCCTTTTATGGTTGTGAAATCAACTTTTTGAAACCTTTGAAATCACCCGCTGGATAATAAAGTTTTCTTGGTTTGTGAAAATATCTATTACATTGAACTCACCAACGATGGAGAGAATGACGACCACGAAGTCGAAGATGTTCCAGCCGACTGTGAAGAAGTAGCATCGCAGCGCCATGATCTTGATGAGGCACTCGAAGGTGAAGACGATGATGAAGGCCAGGTTGATTTTGTTAAGGATGTACTCCATCTGGGGCGACTGCTCGTCCGTCTCCACCATCATGGTGATCATGTTGAAGAGGATCATCACCATGATGATGATGTCGAACGCCTGCTTTGCCACCAGGTCGAAGAAGAAGCCCTGCAGCGGGTTCTGGGGAGGGAAAGAGAGGATGCTGTCTGTTACTGATTGATGATTGAACATTTATTTCACACTTTCTTTTGCAACAATGGCAATATTACCCATTAATGCAAATAAAAACGTACCATAAACTCTCAAAAAGTGGCCTTTATTAACTGATATCCTGGTATTTGTACAATATTATACTAAGACCTTTATTCCTAATTCCTAATATTTTTTCCCCCAATCTTCCCTGTTTTATATGTGACCATATTTTAAAAGAAACCTCCCTGTTTTAAATGAATTAATTCATTATTTTTCCATTGCAAATACAACAACTTGCGTATATTTACTCGTTGTTACACTATACACTTCTACAGAAGTAATTCCATTAGGTACCACAACAGTCGTGCCAAAGTCATCTTCATTTCTCTAACAGAAAAGGTTTTTATTCACTATTTCTTCAACTTTGCCTTTTATTTAAATCTTTTGTAAGTTGGCAGCGATGGTTCCTGCACAGATGTTTCACATTAAAAGCCTTCCAGCCCGAACCTTTTAGACTTGTAGAAATGTGAAATAACTGCAGGAAGTGTTGTGTTTTATTGACAGAGCTTAACTATAATGGAAAAATTACGCTGATTTTACCAGGTCATCCCCGTAATCTTTACTTGTCTGTGTCAACAACAAGCCATAATTTGGCTCTTGGCTATTATTGGAATGCTGTCTTTTATTTGAGAATTTACTGTATTTGAATTTGACATCGAGAGACAGAGAGAGGAAGACGTAGGACTACAACTGCATTTTCACCATGTCAGCAGTTACTATTTAATAATTTTATTTTTCCTACCAATTATTTAATTGTAAGTTTAAACTACTGAACATGTTTTTTAAATGCGCTCTACAGATCGATTTACTTGATTTGAACACATACAAACATGGATGTTTCCATCACTGTGGATTAAAACAGAATAAATGTTTATATTTTGAAGTGTGTGGTGTGTTGGTACCAGAGGTCTGGGGATGGGCTTCTGAGGTTTCTTGGAGCCCAGTTTCTTCATAGCATTGTAGTATTTTCTGCTCCTCTGTCATGAAGATATCCTGTCCTCCTAAGTAAACAAACACAACAACAACAACTCTGTTATTTTCACCGAGCAGGACACAACAACATGTTGCTCCCGACCTCTCAAACTATCCTGCTCTTAATACACTCGGCATTTTGTAAATCTATAAACATAGTCTTTTACTTGCTGTGGAAATAAGATGGCAACACATTGTTATGTCTATTTATTTACGTGTTTTAGATACGTGAACGTCGTTTCTGCTGTGGTACTTATCTTCCTTTTCTGCTGGTTGAAGTTATCGATGATAACACCGATGAAGAGATTGAGGGTGAAGAAGGAGCCGAAGATGATGAAGATGACAAAGTACAGATACATGTACAGATTGATCTCCTTGATAGGCTGCTCCTCAACCTGACAGGAACACACACACATACACAGATCACATTAAAAAAGAAATACGCCTCTTTTTCCACTTCATACCCATTGATCATTCATTGTGCTCATGTCTCCTTCAGCCTCTCACATAATCACTTTTAGTGTTTCTCATTTCTTCCTCATTTTTTAATGTATTACTCTAGATCTAATACAATGTCTAACTGCTTTTCATCTTTTGCATATTATCTCTGATCACGAGCTATTCTCATCTCATTATTTTAATTTTCCATATCTCTTAAACATTAATCTGACTCATTTTACCTTTTTATTTTTACTGAATCTACAATTTTCCTTTAAATTTCGTAATAACTGAATTTCCTGTTATTGAACCTTTGTAATCTGACAGCATCTTTTTATTTGAGGTCTAATTTTACCTTTCTGTTGAAACTGGAAACTCGTGTTGGTTCATCCTGTTTAATCTGTGTTTTTATCTGAGCTCATCTCTTTTCACCTTTTTTACTTTTAATCTCATCCGGTGGTGTAATCTGACCCAGAGAAACATCCAAATTCAAACTTACAGCTCGTGAATCCACAGCTGCATACATGATGTCCATCCAGCCTTTGAAAGTTGCCTTGGAGACAAAAAACATCAGATAATTACAATATTACCATTAACTGTTGGAGTAGTTGCAAAATCAATCTGAAAAGCACAAGATGATTCATGGGAACAGGATGAAATAAGAAAATGTAATTATAATAACTTTTCTTCAATCCTGGCTGTTCTTCTAATGAAAAGCGAGAGAGACTGTGAGCTCCTGTTTTTTGTTTCTTTGTGTGTCAAGTGTGTTCTGAGTTTCTCTGCACCCCGTCACAAAGACGACACCTGCATATTTCCTACACTTAAGTGAATATCTGAACAAAAGGTATCTTAAAGCAGCTTTCCCATTTTGGCAGAAAATTAGCAGAGAGAGAAAGAGTCCGAGCGCCATGAAAACACCACCGCAGTTTTTCTCAATGAAAGATCAACACGTCCTTTCATGGACTTCCTTCCTCAGCAGGGAGGGAGCAGATGATTGAGATTAAAAAAGGTGAAGAGAGGAGAAAGAACAGGTGGCAGAAAGGTAGGAGAGGAAAAAAAGATGCAGATGTGAGGTAACAGCATAATTTGGATGAGTGGGCGCCTGCCGTCCGTCACTCAGACCTAAAATCATCTCGTCGCCAGGAGTTACCACCTGTTATTATTATAAGGGCCTGTCGGATGTGAGCGAGACGGGGCATGTTGTAAAAGACAGCGCGCTTAGTAGCCAGAGATTTTTAACGGATGTGAAGACGTTTACGGGTGGCGGTGTCTCAGTCATCAGTCTGCAGCCACACTGAACCATCTGTTGATGAAGAGGTTTGCTGCCTTTCGCAAACAGTTTGCATATATGTTCAACAGGAGCTGAAGAAAGTGGCTGATTAATCAACAAGGTCAACAGAAAAATGATTAACAAGTTTATGGTAATTAATGAATTGTCTAGGTCAATTTTAAAGGATAAGCACCAAATTTTATCTGGTTCCAGCTTCTCAGTTGTGAGGATTTGCTTCTTTGTTGTATATTAAAATAATAAACTGAATAGTTTTTCGGCTTTAGAGTCAAGAAAAACAAGCAATTCCATGATTTTAGTAAATTGAGATGATTCTTAACAACATTTTTGACCAAATATTGACTTTAAAGGTTCATTGGGTACGTTTTAGTGGCATCCAGTGGAGACGGTTGCAAATTGCAACCAACGGCTCACTGTGAATTCACGTGCTCCTCGGATGGTCCCATTTCCCCAGTTGTGAAGTCGTTCTTCTGATTTCAGTGTGAGGTCATGTGCTTCTAAGTCTGAATGTAGAATCAACATGGACGCTACTACAAAGATGTGTTAGATTAGCATTATCAGAGAATTTTAATTTCTAAATCCAACAACAAAAAGGCTGTAAAAACTGTCAACATATAGTCTTCTTGTAATATTTTTGATATAATATGGACTTCCCCAGGCAATGTTTTTATTATTCGTGTCTTCTTATATATGTGTACTGTTCTGTATACTACTTTATGTCCCATGTACACATATAAGGAGAGAAAAAACATTCTGAATATTCTGACACCACATGTGTAGTCCCCCATTTGTCCAAATTTCTCTTCTTTTCTTACTTCTAATAAACCATATTACTACTACTTCTGCTTGTTTTTCATAAGTATTCAACGTAGGGATGAAACGCGCTATGAAGAGCAGTTTGTCTGTTTGGGATACTGTAGAAACATGGCGGCGAAACACGGCGATGTTCATGTAAGAGGACCAGTGGTGTATGCAGATAAAAAATGTTCTAAGGTAATAAAACATAATGGTTCATTATGTAAGGTCTTTACACACCACTGAAAATATAGTCATAATATAATATTGCATTTGTGTCAATAGATCCTAATATCACACACTGAACCTTTAAGGAATGTAATAAAAAAAATGAACCATCAGAACAAACAGGACAATTCAGAGTTGCAGATGTCCACAAATCCTTTAAACTGAGCTCAGTAAATTCTCGCCCTGCATCATTTTTGCAGCGTGGAGCTATTTCCAGATGCTAATGGAAGGGTTGCCCCCGCCAACCATTGCGACGCATACACGGCGAGATGCTGAGTGACTCGTTTCCAGGGAAACCGTACTCTCAACAACTCTCAAGATCTCCGCGGCCTTCTCTCTCTTTCCATTAAGAAATCCGTAAGACTGCGGTTTTTCTTTCCATTTTTTCTCCATCCCTTTTTTACACTATTCTTACTTTCCTCCTTCTCCAACTCCCACTTCTCTTTACCCCTTCTTCCTCTCAGCCATCTCTCCTTTACTTTCTTCTTCTGTGCCATCCTATCTCTCTTTATACACATATATAAATACATACATACATCTTATATATATTATATGTTATATCTCCATCCTTTTAATCCTCTCTCTCCTTGTATCTCACCTATCTTTTCTCCATTTCCACCTTGTCACATTTCCTCCATCCACCCAGCATCTGTCTGTCTTCACTTTCACTTAAATCCCTCTCTCTCCCTCTTACTTATCTCTTTCCTCCATCTCTCTTCCTTCACTGCTGTTTCTTTCTTTCCATTTGAACTTAAATTTTCTCCCTCCCTCCCTCCCTCACTCTCCCTCCCTCCATCTCTCCATTTCCCTCCCACTTGGCTGGAGTCGCTCTAAAAATAAAAGCCTCTCAGACGCTGATTGATTGGAGGCTCTCAGGACTCCCGTTGTGGGCGACAGAGAGCGAGAAAGAAAATAGAGAGCTGACTAGAGAAAGAAAAAGAAACAGAGTAAGGAGGGAGGAGGAAAATGAAGGCCTTGTAAGGAATGAAAGCAAAATGATTGAGAGATGGAAAGAGTGGAGTTGCCTTGGCTCTAATTGGCTGTGTTCATGTTGTGTTTAATAACAGATGATGGAGAGACAATGTGGGAGGAATTGAAATAGAGACAGTGAAAAACAACAGACGAAAAGCACAAGGGAAGTTTGGAAATGCAGAAACTAAATAGAAAAATTATAGCAAAGACCGCAAATAAAAAAAATGATAGAAGGAACGAAAGACAGAAAGTAAAAAGTGATAAAGTCAAAATCCCACCGCCTGAGAAGTTTTGACAAAATAGTTTGAATGCAATTTTTTTCTCATTTTATATCTTCATTTTACTGTTCAATATTTTCTTCTAAATTGTATCTTGATAAATGATATTAAAAGTCTTTAAAATTCTGTTTCAAAGCCTTCATCATACTTATAGAATATAACTTTTGAGGAAGACACTAATCCCTTATTTGAGTTTCACCTCATAATTTTAGCAGACGTAGATTAGAAGATTTTTCTGTCAGAATCAGACATAAACTAGGACGTGTAATGTATGTTTAATGTAGTTGGCACAGTCCTTCACAGTTTGTTCAAACAGGAACAATACAGAGGTCATGAGCTCATACAGCCTTTGAAAAGAAAAAGATGGATGAGGGGAGGGATGGATGAAGAGAAAAGGTGAGAGAAGGAGGAGGTTGAATGGCAAAATAAATGTTCAAATGTACGCTAATGTGATGTTATTTAAAGTGAGCCTGTGTAACTTTTGAACAAAGTGTGTTTTATTGCCAATGCATCAAGTTAATGTATAAAAAGAAGAAAAAGAAGAATGTGCTATTTCTTCTTTCAGCATATTTTATCTTTAATGCCAATAATATGTGTTAAATTAAAGATGAAAACACTCAAGTGGAATTTAGTCGTCCTTCTACATGTTGGAATGTAAGATAATAATTATATATGTGAGAAAAGTATGTATTGGTTGAGAAAATAATTTATTATCTTTTAATTTTGTTTTGCTCACCTGTAACTCAAAAACTATCTATCGCCCCTGGAGGTACAAAGTGGTATTACATAACAAGGGACGGGCCGGGGCTAGCTGGTTAGCATGGTACATTAATAAACACTTAAAATGTCCCTATATTTGCTTATAACTACATTACAGTTTGTTGTAAATAATTTAAGGTAAGTGTTGATATTTCCTACCTTCATTTTTTTTTTTGCAACAGTGCCATTGTGTCAAGTTGCGTGCAGTACCTGTAGTGTAGATGGCTGCTTTTTATTGATTAGTTATATTTATTGATTTATATCTAAACAACAACCTCATTAACATTCATTGTATAAATACCTCAGCCATTGTATACAATACAAATTATTACACACTGATGAACTGTACACATGAGTTACATAATACATTCACATCTATGGAAGCCCATATTTTCAAATTGCAACTACAACTAAAGTAAATACATAAATAAATGCATTTTTTTCTGGGAATTTCTTTTCATATGTTATTAAATTATGCTTTAAAAAATCCCTAAAAATGGCCCACCAATACCTCTAAACTGGATTATTTATCATTGTTTATCTACTGTTAATTGAGGTTCTTATCTTACTGTAAGTGATTTTAATGTAAGTAATTGTTAAATTTTGATGGACAAAGAGAGAGAGAGTAGGCAGTGAAAAGAAATTAAAGCAAACACGACAAATGGAGAGAGAAAGGGAGGGCGAGCGGAGAAGTGGAAAAGTCAAAAGTGAGTGTGATGAAGAACAGGTGTGGGAGGAAAATTAAGGCTAAGACATCAAATGGACTGAACGAAAGAAGATCAAGGCAGCGAGGGAGGGGGAAGAAGCAGAAAAGTCAAACCACCTACAGTTCGTGGAGGAGACACTCTGTTTTAATTTGTTTGATGGGCAGGAGAGGATTTTTCACGCCATTTTGTCCCCCATTTCTTCACTTCAGCTCTTTGTTTTCTGTGAAAGCTTCATACAGATGCTGCGGTGACAGATTAACACAATGTCCTTCACCTTCACCTACAGCATTGTTCTGCAATGCAGCTTCGGTTTGTCCGGCTGCACTGATATCTGAAGGGGGTGGGGTCGACCCCGGGGATCTTTATATGACATGGTAGGGGGATGAAGAAATAAAAAGTTTCAGAGATGGAGAGCGTTTGTGACCAACAGCAGTAGTGTCTGTGGGGAAATCTACATCCTCCTCACCTTATACTCCGTCACATCACCTCGTCGTGTCACTCTCTCCAGATCTCAGGGGTTTGCATGCATTATTTTTTATTTTTTTAAACATGGAGGAGTGTGTTTAAGAGTTCAAGAGGACAGTGTGTTAAAGTGATCATATTCGTGTTTCAGTTCTGGGGCAAGACAAGCCCCGACCCACGCTGCAAATGAAGCACTGGAGTTGTTTTTTAACTGTCTAAAAGCCACTTAAAAGGCTCCTAATGTATCATGAATCACTCTGCAGCGAACCCTTCCTCTCTGTTTACTGTCTGACAAACAAAAATGGCCGATAGTGTTCTCATCATCCACCAGCTTTAAAAAAAAGTGTCCATGATTCTTTGATCAAATTAAGTATTAGAGTTTTAAAGAAGAACCTGTGCAGGAGTTTTTATGTGATACATTGGCCATCATATAGGCTACTTGTCACAGCAATATCATATCAGCATACTGTATGTTGGCTAACAAGTAACAATAGAAATACCAATTCTGATTGGCTGGAAGGTGCGGATATTTAATAACCGGGCAGTAAAACCAGACAACCAGTTCTAAATGAATACGTCAGTAATTGACTGTGAGGCAGAGCTCAAGAGCTTGGAGCTAGGGTTTTTTTGAGTAACCACCACTACCAACAGCCAGAAAAAGGGATAAATGGCTTCCCGGTGAGAACCCCTCAAATTTAATTTCCTATGTGTTTGATGTTTGTGGCAGAATGCAGCGATATTATCTATTCTTGAGATTGAGAGCAATTTCTGTTTCTCTCCAAGCAGCCTTGTGAACCATTTCCTATTTAGCTCCAGAAATTGTGAGGCACGGGAAATATATTTTATCATGTTTAAAAGAAATGTGTTTAAATATACTGTCTGTTTTGACCAAAAAATAAATCCAGTATCTGTCGGTCTATAGTGGGAAGGATACAATGCTGCAAAAAATCCCCATTAAGTAATTTTTTCCTATGAGTCCTAAAAAACTGTCAGTGGGGTTCTTGAAACTTGTTTCCAATACAAATCAACCTGTTCTGGGTCACTAAAACAAAATAAAGCAGAGTGCTGCACTATAATCAAGACAATTTAAACATGATATTAAGTTAAAATACTTGCATTTAGATTTATGTTGAACATTTCTATCTAACTCTTAAAACTTGGTGAGCTCCAGACTCGCCTTCTCTTTGTAAATACCCCCCAAACCCCCGACGCAGTCTCTCACCACTTGCAGCAGAGCCAGGTACCCGGCCCCCACGTTGTCAAAGTTGACCTTGACTTTGGTCCAGTAGTATTGCGAGGTGTCGTTGCGCGACTCGCACTGGGACTTGTTGTTGATTTCGGAGGCCTCGTGGACATAGCCAGTGCGGTTGACGCAGCGGCCGAACTTCCCGGCGAACAGGTTGACGCCCATGATGCTGAAGATGAGCCAGAAGATGAGACAGACCAGCAGCACGTTCATGATGGAGGGAATCGCCCCGATCAGAGCGTTAACCACCACCTGGACAGACAGAAACACACGGAGTCACACACATACCAAACACACTTCTTACATGTGCAAATACTAAATCTTAGGAAAACATCAAGTTTCCAGTCTGTTGCTAGTCAGGTTTAACAAACACCAATTTCTTCTGTATGTGTTCTCTGTGTTTTATTAGTGATTGGGACACATGACTGACTTTCATAGAGTTGTGAAATGGGAAGAGTTATTTCAGGTGTCCCGGGTTCTGGAAGTACAAATCCCTTCCTTTCCTCATGCACAATGTTAGGAGACTTCAAGGCTTGGATGTGTTAAAGATGAGCAAAGGTTTTAAATTTCTGGTTTATCAAAAGTATAAGGCGCCTGTGGACATAAAAACTGAAGGGGAGAAGTCAACTATGAGTCACAAGATGCATTTCGATTAGTAATATCCTACCACAGAGCTTTAAACTCTACAAAATAAAACAAAAATACACTTTTAATTAAATTTATATAACTTTTATTACCAACTGCAACAATGAAGTATTTTGAAATTAAAACAGCTCTGATATGTATTGTTTAATTCAGAACAATCCTCCAAACTGGAAAAGAAATCATAACCTCTCAGAAATAAAGTTAATTTATGAAAACTTAGTCATAACATAGTGTGGTTAAATAATGCAGGAGACTCGTGTGTTTCTATGTTTAGGGAATGGGAATTTACAGTTTGAAAAATACTTCCAGAAGTCAGCGATCAACCTGACCAACGTTGAACCAGAACTTGATGCATCCCCTCAGCATTTACATCACAGCACGCAATCAGCACGACACACATCACGAAGCGAAACACAGCTTTAGCTTCAGCATTGTAGGGTTGATGCAGGCTGGAGAATCTGGCCAGTAAGCCATCGTGTTTTATTATTTACCCCGAGTCCCTTAAACCCGGTTGGTTGTAAGAACTGAAGCTTATTCTACAGCTGATTTGGGCGTCACTCCAGTAACTGTGTTCAGCTCACATGGGAGAAAATGCAAAATGATTTCACTTCAATTGTTTAACGTTTCTTGTTGCATTGATATATAAAATTTCCCATCTTGGTGTTTCGTCCCATGTAAACTGAATGTAGCACAATGATCACATTTAGTAAAACTGTCAGAAAAATCAGAACAAACTCAGCAGCATTTTTTTAGTCAAGCTGAGATGTGCATTTCTTATTATTTGGTATGTATTTGGGGAAAAGCTTCCTCCTTGCTGTTGGTGCTCCTACATAGAGAAAGCTAGTCAACTAATGTCTCTACAGAAAAAGAAAATTCAACCTGCCACTCCAGCCCTCCTCATTATACCCACAATGCAGCTCTTCTACCCAGAATCCCATGCTGAGTGTGCAGCACTTGTAAATTGACATGAAGGGCTAATCTTCTCAGCCGGACAAAGCCGAGAGGAGAGGACCATGGGAGAGTGAAAGCTCAGACTTCCCAGCATGCAACACAGGTCGCAAACCTCATGTGAACCAGAGTCAGCATCCTGCACACCTCCGTCTGTACATTTCCCCTTTCATCTTAAACCCAGGGGTCACTCTTTCTTTGCTGCGTTGAAAATGAGCTGGATTACAAAATACTGATCGTACAGTTTGATACCCGTTGACCTGGTGGGCTTTAAGCGGTTTTATACAGCCAAAGAACTTCTATAAAAACCAGACCAGGCGTCTAATTGAGACCTGCGTTAACTTGTCAACACATCATAATCTAGAGGAAATCAATCATTTAGCTTTAGTGATTGTGTAGTCACACTACAGAGGAAGGTCTCTGCAGGACACTGACTCTTTGCCCCTGTCAGTAATACTGATGAGTGGGATGGAAACAGAAAGAGAGAGTGGAGGTTGATCTTTCTTGCCTGGTCACAAAGGTTTATGGACACACACAGTTTAACATGGAACATTCAGGTTTTTGTTTTCTGAAAAGAGAAAATCTCTGAGGAGGAATAAATCAAGTCAAAGCCACATGGAAACACTGACAGGACGTAATGACATGAACCAATCAGAGAGCAGAATGTCGGTGATGGGAGGATGAAATAGGTGAGAGGTTACTACCACAAAAACTAAGCAGCAACCTCAGGGGATGGAAAACGAAGCCAATGTGGAAATGCCAAAAACTGCAGTTCCTCGAATGGCCACTTGAGGCTGGCTCTGAAAGGGAGCCAATCTCCAAAGATCTTTACAGAAAAATGGTTTTGATCGCTTTAGCTAATTTCCCCCTTCGTGACAAAAAAATAGGGATACATTTTTACATAACACGCCTGCTTACATTATATCACGGCTTAAAGTTAGGCATATTTAAGGGCATGGCTTTTAATGACGGGAAGTTCTTAAGTGGCTTGCCACCAGGTGGTTCAGCAGCCACCTCAGCTCCACCTCTTAGCCAGCGTCAGGCACTGCGGCCGGAGCCACAGGGAGCCGCACATTTTGAGCTTCTTTAGAAAACTATGGGTGACGATGGAGATTACGTCTGTGTTTTATACAGTCTATGATAAAAACACCTGGGCACCAAAATATTTACAGGGGAGCGCTTGATTTATATTATTTATCTCTTAGATTATGTAGCAATAGACTTCAGTTGATGATATAACTCTAGTTAGTTCTCAGAATAAAGTCTTTTTACCGCCTCCTCAGACAGAATGACTCACCACACAAAAGGCACAGAAGTTATGAAAGGTAATAGCCAAAAAGCTGAAATTCGGAGTCCTTGTGTCAACACTTTTATAAAAAGGACCAATTAGTGACCTTGTTAAATGAAGTTAATACTAACCTTCATCGTGTTTAGCATTTTTCAATAGATATTCTTTTATAACCGCCCAATCCATCTATGTTGGCATGTAGGCTAATATGATAATCATGCTTCTTTCAGAAAAACTCCTATTCATATGTTCTCAGGCTGAGTATGACCTGCCGTGACAAGTAAACTAACCCTCATCAGAGTTTGTTTTCTCTTTTCTTACTTACAAGTATTCTCTTTGGATATAATACTACCAAAGAAAATGCCTGTTAGATCTTGATCTTGTTTTTAAAGTGTGATAAACCAAGCGCTCCTCTTGAATAGAAGATATTGAATCCAGGTGCCCAAGTGTGTTTGTTATATTAACACTGACTCTTACCCTCATGCCTTCAAATCTGGAGAGGGCTCTGAGGGGTCGCAGGGCCCGCAGCGTCCGCAGGGATTTGATGGCTGCAAAGTCTGAATAACCCAACGTGTTGGCCACCAAACTGACCAATGAGACCTGGAGGAGAGGGAGAGGGAAAGGGGGGAGGGAAAAGATAGAAAAAGATAGAGATAGAAGTTCAGAGACAGGCGGAAAGAGAGACGGAAAGTCAGAAAGGAAGGGAAACAGAAGAGAGAAGCGGGACAGTTAACGTCTAATCTAATCAAAGACGAAGACAGAGCGGGAGAGGACTGATCGACGGCATCAGGGATGAAACCAGCCGATCAGAACTGGCGATATGAGGAAAGACAAAGGCGTGGTAGTTTAAATATCAGATGACTGAAGACTCCTGCAGGAGAGGAAAGTAATTAAAAGTTAGTTTTGGTGTGACAGATTATAACGGCAGCCCCAAGTACACAGCTGCTTCTTTTTAAAATGACTTTAGATGAGTCTTTGATGGTGAACTGAGCTTCGACCTGTTAAACAAAATGTTACTGAAACAGTCCTCAGGTGAAGCTATAGATGAGAACATCATTGTGTTAATATTCAGTTCAACATCACTGAATTCACTCCTTCATTCAAACTGTGGAAAAGAAAGGATTCATTCTTTACTGGGTCAGTCGGGTTGATTATTTAGAGCCAGTGAAGGTCAGTAGAAATGTTTTTCGACTGGTTTGGCCTTAGTCATGGTAGCTTTTAGAAAGAGGTAATACAACAGACTGTATTGTAATACTTTGAACTTGTTAGTACTTTTTAGGAAATGTTAGCAGAAGTGGATGTGATGAAGAAAAGACAACGACCGCACTACAACCTGATTATCCAAAAGTCAGTCAAATATGTTAATGTTAAATCACATATGAGGTCTAAGTGTGCAACAACGCAGCCTCAAAAACTTCAACTCATGAAATAAATACATAATCTGATATTTGAGATTATGTGAGAGAAGCAAGAACTGGACACGAGATATTCACATCTTTATCACAGGAAAAATGTGAAACAACAGTTAAGTTGGCTAAATGATACATGTTGGACGTATAACTTGAAGTTAGGGGGGAAGTTCAGTAATACCAGGGATGATTAACTGTAAATACTGTAGCTGTATCGTAAACAGTCTGAAATATTACCTCTGATCAAAGCCAAGATGACACAAACCTCTAGTCAAACAGAAACCACAGCATCTCTAAAACCCTCTAAAGCCAGCCAGCGAAGCCCCACATGAGCGTCTGATTTTCACGATTGAGCGGCAGGTCTCCGGTGGGTCGGAGGGCGGAGCTCCAGGTGAGTTCACCCGGTTCTTACCCTGATACCAGCGAAGCGGGACGCGGCACGGAGAGGACGGAGGGCCCTGAATGTCCTCAGCACCCGCATGGTGGTGATCTGGTCCACAGAGATGTACTGAGCCAGCAGACCCAACACTGAGATCTACAGGTTATGGGTTACACAGTTATTACAAACATCAACTGAGTGGGTGGAAGTCTAACGTGCAGAAATTAAACTGAAGTATTTAAGCATGCCATAAATATTGACATTTAGTGTCTTTAATAAACTTAAATGAGTTAAGCCCTTACAATTTCCCTTCGGATCTTATATGACATTCATTTGTAGTGTATATTTGTTAGATTATTTCAGTGTTTTTCTGCCCCCTAGAGGCTAAAATCAGATTAATGCAGCTTTAAGGTCAAGATGTGAGTCTTTCACAACTTTCTGTCTTTTTAATAACCCTCTGTTCTGTGTATTGTCTCAAAAGTGCATTGTTAGATCTCTGTGACTCCACACACTCTCTTTATTCTCTATCTTCAGGCCATTACAGTCACATAGAAACATCACTACACACAGTGTCATTTGTGAAGACGGCCCGGCGGAAAACGCCCAGAAAACAAGAGAGGATGTGTCACATCCCAACGCAATGCATGCATACTGTATGTATGGTGTGTATCTAAACTGTTTGTGTGTGCGTGTGTCACTCTAGCCCAGCAAAATCCTGCCCAGCAGAGTGAAAGTGTGCGACGAAATATACACATCTATGTGTGTCTGTGTGTGAGGTTAAAAAGCCACTGCTGATCGTTTGACCGGAGGCTGTGTGCACGCTCTCTCTCTCTCTCTCTGCTCCTCTCTTTGTCTCTCTAAGTCTCTCGCTCATTTTATTCATGGAGTCCATTATTTCAGGGAAGGTTCACAGCAACAAAACAACTACTTTAACACAAACCACCTGAGAGTGATACATCTCTCTTAGTTTGACATGATACTGTAACGTTAACAAAAACAATTTTAGTTATCTCTATATATCCCTCCTTACTTCCCACATCTCTCTCATCTGTTCATCATTTTCATTCATTCCCCCACTCTCTCACACTTCTCCTCCCTCTCCTCTTCCGGTCACTGCCTCTGCTCCGTGCAGTCAGCATGGTCAAGTCAAGTGTGCGCACAGAAAACAGTAATTGCATAATCTGGTGAAATATACTGTTGAAATGACACATGACGTCTCTCTTTCGCTGATTCATATTCCATTACTCCATCTTTCTTTCAGCCTCTCTGCATGATTACTCTCTCTTCCTGCCTTTTCTCATTTCAATTTTCAATTTCAATTCTAAAAATGGCTTTATTGGCACAAAAGAATAATGTTCACATTGCCAAAGTAATAGTATAACAATATGTTAAAAGTAAATTAAACAAACAAACAATGTGACAATTATAACATAGCTCTCTCTCGTTTCTCTATTCTTGAAATCAGAAATCTGGAAAAATAGGTTAATTATAGATAAATTATCAAGGAAGATTTAAAAAATGATATTCTGTTTAAGCAAAGTGAGGAAAGGACTGAATTAAAGAAAAAAAGACAATGTAATAAAGATATTTAAGCCATCTTAAAATGTAAATAATGAATGAAAAGTAGAAATATTTTCTCCGTATCTCTTTTTCTGTCGATGTCTCGTAAGTCTTTTATTATATTGTCTTTCATTATAGTCTAGAAAATTATCAATATTTATCCATTTCAGGAATCAGTGTGTTTCTGTAACTCATCAACATTATTAAACTCTCTGTGTGTCCTCAATATCATCAGTGATGTCAACTTTGGCATCATCATCTGCACTGCCACCAGCTCAAACATCAACACTGTACATTTTCTACTAATTATATATAATAATAATCTAGAGCACACGAGTTGGCTGACTGAATTACTGTTTTTGTATGTTCACTTTCTCATCACCATCAGCGCTGTTATGTCACCTGAGCCATTATAATTGTGAGCTCTAATCACTTTTTGTGTCAACAAAAAGATATTGAAGACATTTTGAAAATTGTCAGATTTGTCATTACTGGCATCAACATCAATGTTAACAGGTATAAAATAACGATTACGGTCATTATGACGTCAGTATTAATATAAACATCGTTGGCTTTTGTCACCATGATCAACGTTACAGTATTTCTTCTCTATTATCATTGTCATTATCTCTGCTAACTTTATGAATGTGGTCAAAAAGAAGCTAAAACTAAAATAAACTTTCCGACTAACTAATAAACCGATGCATCCCGTTCGACTTACATCGACGATGAGGAAGTCGAGCCAGCACCAGTAGTTGGTGAAGTACTTCTTGAAGCCGTAGGCGAGCCACTTGAGCAGCATCTCTAGGATGAAGATGTAGGTGAAGATCTTGTCTGCGTATTCCAGTATCACCTTGACCACCTTCCTCTGCTCGATGTAGATGTCCTCAAAGGCCTGACGGGGGCAGCAGAGAAGGTGTTTTGAGATCTGATCTCAGTGGATATTCTGATTTAATTGATCCCTAAAGATCTATCAAATGTGTGATTATCTTCAGGGTATTGAAACTGAAATAAAGTTTGTTCTTTAAGTTATTGTTACTGTTGTTTCAGTCAAACAACTAGCCAATACAATCATAGAAAAAGGATGATGTCATTCAGCTCACACCGTCCTCTAGAAGGATAATAAATGTTGTTGTAGAATAAAAGTAAACTATAGCAAACTACATGACCATAAAGTGCATTAAGTTAAGTAAAGTAAATAACACCAAAGTAAAGTAAACTACGGTAAAGTTTGGTAAAGTGAATTAAGTAAAGTAAAGGATAGTGAAGTGTAAAGTAAACAAAGTAATCTACAATCCAGTCCAGTAAACTACAATAAAGTAAACTATGCTGATAAACTAGAAAACATAATCAAAGTATAAGGATGGTGCCATTCTGCTTACACCGTAATCTAGAAAGATATATAATAAATGATCAGAGAGTAAATTAAATTACATTAAGTTAAGTAATGTAAAAAAGTATAACGTAATTGTCAAGTAAAGCAAGTAAACTTAGGTAAACTAAACTGCAGTAAACAACAGTAAAGTTGAGTAAAGTGAATTAAGTTAACCACAGTTAAGTGTAATGAATAAACAAAATCAACTAAAAGTCAAGTACAGTAATGTACAGTAAATTGTCTAAGGTATAGTTGCGTAAAGTTAAGTAAAGTACAGTAAATTGAGTAAACTAAAGTAAAGTAAAGTTACTTCAAGCAAATTAAACAAACTTTAAGTGCCTTTAATAAAGTAAACTACAGTACAGTAGGGTGGAGTGGATAAGACACATGCCTTTGGTGTGGGAGACCCAGGTTCAAATCCACTGTTAGACACCACTGTGTCCCTGAGCAAGACACTTAACCCCTCGTTGCTCCAGAGGCGTGCGACCTCTGACATGTTTAGCAATTGTAAGTCCCTTTGGATAAAAGCGTCAGCTAAATGAATAAATGTAAAGAAAAGTGTCTGACCAGCGCTCCGGAGCTGAGGAGGATCATGAAGATGATGAAGGACTCGAACCAGCTGTGCTCTACGATCTGGAAACAGGTCTTCCTCGTTTTCCACCAGATCTCACCGAGGCCTGATGTCGTGTCAATGTCACAGCACTGAAACCTGGCCACACACACTATGGGCGAGACAAAAAAAAAGTGAGAGAGTGTGATTGTGTTTGTTTAAGAAATGCATGTTCTTCATCATGGGGTTCTACAGACTAGTAGTAGGCTAGTTGTAACTGCGTGTGGCCCCTGTTTGCTGCTGAGCAGGTCCTGTACAGTGTGTGTTTAGAGCTTTTACTCTGAAAATGACACAGAGGGGTGAGAATGAACCAAAAGAGTGAAGTTGTGGACTGTCCACCGTGATGTCATCCATTAGTTTGTGGACTTTTTGGAACAAGAAGTGTCCATATTTGTACGAGAGGGTGGAGCTAAAAATTAATAGCTGAATCCTTAGAGTTACTTTTAGTACAACCAAATGCTAGAGACATTTTTAGGCGACTAAAATGTTACAAGTAACTTTCATAAACTGAAAATTCAATATTCCCGACTTGTTAATCACAAGGTAGCCCCGCCTTAAAGTGTCCCCTGCTTTGTGGTCTATTTTCTTCTAAATGGGACCATAATTTACTGAATGAACATCATGCTGTGCTGCAGAAGACTTGAAACTATCGACTGAGAACATAAACTCATTAGCGTGAGTGTTTACTGAGGTAATAAATCAGCTGAGAAGTAGCCTCCTTTTCTCATAGACTTCTATACAATCACACTTCTTTCTGCAACCAGTGGAGTCGCCCCCTGCTGGATGTTAGAGAGAATGCAGGTTCAAGACACTTTCACATTAGCTGAAACTCACTTAAAGCTTCGTAAAACGAGACAGGAACTGTAGCTGAAAACTCTCAGCTTTATATAATATTCATACAGCATCAGTTATGTTCTAAGAAACGGCTAAATGAAAGAAAATTATTTAAGACTAGCAGGAAAACATGAGAGACAAAGTTAATATAGAACATGAACTGCCAATGATAGGAGTTCATTGTGTTTACATCCCACCTTAACTGACTGCCAGTCACTGTACACAAGTTTAATCAGAATCTCAGTACAGTATCTCTAAAGTATAAAGGGGGAAGTGAACCCTCCTGGAATCATTTCATCCCGACATGAGCTTATGTGCGTCTCAACCAGTGCCTTGCTCCGGGGCACGCTGGTATCACAACTACAAACAGAAACCAAACACAGGGTCGTGACATGTCTGCTCTGTTTTCATACACAGATGACCGGGAGCATAACGTGCTCTATCCCTTTGGTTGACTTCTGTGTGTGTGTGTGTGTGTGTGTGTGTGTGTGTGTGTAAGACAAAGAGTGTTGTCCTTATGTTCACATGCTTGAGCATGCAATCATGTCTTCTGTGCAGAGTGTATGTGTTTAGAGGCGTGCTTTGTTGTGTAACTATTGACTATTTGACAGATGTTGAGCTTCTGCTTCCCCCCAACAACCCGCCCTGTGTGTGTGTGTGTGTGTGTGTGTGTGTGTGTGTGTGTGTGTGTGTGTGTGTGTGTGTGTGTCTGTGTGTGTCTGTGTGTGTTTGTGTGTGTCTGTGTGTGTGATAGACGTTCACATCAAATTCACTTTAATTCCCAAGCATTAGATACTGTGATGACTGATAACTGTACTTTCCCTTAAACTCTAAACCTTATTCAAAACTCCCTTTACATTTCTTTAAATTTAGGGGGAAAAAACTTTCTCAAAACCGTAAGATAGTTTCATTTACATCAGTAGCAGAATTACTTAATTAATAAATAAGTCTTGTAGCTAAAACATTCAATCAAATAGAAATATTTTCTCTGTTGTGTTGATAATTTCAGACACATTTAATTTAAATGCAGACTCACTTGGTACTTACATACATGTATACATACTGTATATATGGTATTAAGTTACAACATTTTAACCACACATTGGATATATTATTATTATTATTATTATTATTATTATTATTATTATTATATGCCAACACGTTAGTAAACAGCTGCTTACTTCTAGATCCAGCAGACACAGAGCAACATGACCATCTCACTGGAGTTGTTTTTGTGTCCTTCTCAACTCCCTATAGCTCTGGTTTTGTCTCTTTAGTTGCTAGATGTTCCACTTTCATCACCAGCTTGTTTCTAACCCTGTGTGCTGGGCTGCCCAGCCTGGGCACGGAGTGTACGCTGGGTTTATCAGAGTTTGTTTTCTAAAAACAGCTGCTTGCTGTGCCTGGAAGCGGTGCTGATGAGAGTAGTGACCACACGGTCAATGTGCCATAACTGGGAGCTAAAAGAGGCTAAAAAGCTCCATAGAGTTGGTGATAATCTAGATTTTTTTGGGGTTTGGTATGAATGAGACCTCTCTTATTATGAACTAGTTTGTCCTGTTGTTTATATATAAATATTGATTAGTGCAGCTTTTAAAGGAAGATATGTGAACAATCCTTTGCAGTGCACTGTGGTATAAAAGGGAAAATAAAAATAAATAACCACAGATATTCTCTGAAGGTTAGCTTAAGTTTGGTATGTTTAAATAATGTTTGTATAGGTTTTAAACTAATTGTAAACTGAATGAAGTTTACCAAAACAATTTTTATTTTTTTTTAGAATTAGAATGATGAAATGAATATTGACATATCTGAAACAAACCTTTCATACTTCAATTACAGGAACTATTTTATATGTAGCCTATGTATAATATTTGGTCGCAGCATATATGTGAGTTTAGCATGCAGTTCTTCATATCTGAAAACACGCTGATGTATCCTGGAAGCAGCCTGATCAGCCTGGAACAGATGGGATCGCTCACTGAGTTATTTGTTGCAGTGCATTATTCGCTGAACGAGTGCTGATAACGAGAGGATCAGATTCCCGTCGTTCCACATTATCAGCCCGTCAGCTGCCTATGGCACTAAAAGCTTGTCGCTAACGTTTCCAAATTCAATCAATATGTCTGCGAAGGCGACGATGAACCGCGACCTCGCGTTCACTCACAATCAAGACCGGGAACTTCAGCATAGCGATTGCTCGGGTGAGTGATGCTGATGTGCCCTCGAGCAAGGCACGATGGCGTCTCAGTGGCAGAGGAAGGGGGCGGAGAAGAAGGCAGGATGTTGTTCAGAAAGAAAAAAAGCAAGTGTGTGTGCAAGTGGTTGGTGTGACACTGGAGCGTCTGCACTGACACGGGTCTAACTTGATTCACCCGAGAGACTTTTTGATTTGTTCTTTTGGACACTGGGAACTTTGCCATCCTCCTGTCAGCCATTAAAATAAAACCTGAACTGCATATATCCAGAAAAATACAATTCTGATATGATGTTCAGCATTTTTCAGCAATATCCATTGAATGTATTTACATTCTGTACTCACATCACTCTGTAGTAGTGCAATTGTTGGTGGCGCCACCATTCAAGAGGTGGATTCCTCACACAGGAGGGATTCACAGGAAATACTGAATGCAGGTAATGCAGCATTACATTTTGTATTTTTATCTCATCGGTATCAGCCTCGCTGCTTAATCTCATATAGCTGTATCAGAGCTGTATAAATGCTTACCCAACATTTCCTGCAACAGCTACTTCAAATTAAAAGTATTCAACTAGCAAAACACGAGGTGACTTTTATAGTGAAGCAGTCACAGGAAACACAATGTATTTGTCACAGAGGGCAGCGCCGGTTTCTATTGTTATCAAAAGTGCAGCCGGGCTGTTGGATAAAGAGCAGAAGGCTCCAAGTACAATAAGCATGTGGTAACTTTCTTTTGCTGAGGTCTGTGTTGGTTTCCTGTAAGACACAGACTGAGAAGAAAAAAGCATGAGCTTTAGCTGCACTTCACTCTGTTGATTGCAGCGTCTGCCTGCTTCTGTAATTAGAGCTCTGATTACCCTGGCTTTCGGTTTCCATGGCTACTAATAGGCTTTTCCCCGATATGCCGGTTGAGTAATCCAATGAAAACAAGCGAGTGGTAATCCGACACTCAATCAGCCCACTTGGCAGAGTTATTATCAGTGTGTGTGTGTGTGTGTGTGTGTGTGTGTGTGTGTGTGTGTGTGTGTGTAGGAAACCCCCTCTGTTTGTACTGAAGGCACTTGGCATTGATCCGTTATTGAACATTAAATGCTGCTGAATGATCCCTGCCAGGTGATTGCATTTCCTTTTTGCCTCCACATTCAGTAAATGCGACATTCCCAACACACACAAACACACACACACACACATAACTTAAACATACTTAAATACATCCTTGATCTTTTCTCACCAGCCTCTGGACAAACTTTACAAATGTTTACCTTCACTAGTAGTACAGCTTTAAAGGTTCTGTAGGTGAGGTTCTGAACATTACTATTTGAGATGTAAACATATAATGAGCACGCCCACATCATCTTAATTTAGTTTTGGCTATTTGTTTACATAAAGAATATTCTTTTCATTCAATATCTACTAACTTTATTTAACTTGTTCTTGGAGAAAACAACATGCTCTATAACTCCTGTCTGTTTTCACCACAGGAGGAAAATCTGACCTCACACTGAGAGAGACGTTTGAACCTTTGCTGAGCCTCAGCAAATTATGATAGTGGCCTCTTGAGTGACTGATCGTCTTGCCCTAGGACACTTCAGCAACACACTGTCTGCTGCAGGAGTCACACCTGAGACCTTTCAGTAACAGGACGTCAGAGAGAGCGACGTCGCTGCTGCTGCAGTCATTGCACACTGCCCACTGAGGCAGAAACACACACACACTCACATATTCCCTCTCAATCGCGTGTCGTGCAGCTTCACAACATTAACCAATGAGTTGGCATTTAGAGGACCAATGGGGCGGCTAATCTAACCCCCGCTTTCAGCACAGATGTGTGTGCGTGACTTAAATCTGTGGATTTTCTGCATGCATGCTGGCTAATGATACACTCTATCTGTACCTGTAGATACAGTGTGTGGATATTTGTGCATATCTGTGTGTGTGTGTGTGGCTGAATGGAGATGACAGTAAAATAATGAGTAATCGTGCCACAGTCTTTTTGCCTGGACAACAGGAAGTGGTCAAATATCCGCTTCTGAATGTCCTCTACAATGGAAATAACCAGGAGTTCAACCTGCAATCCT